TGCGGGCTGGAAGCGGCCAGAGCCTGCAAAGACAGGGGGGGGGGGGCAGCTGGCAGGGGGGGGGCAGGAAGGGGGCCGGGCAGGACATCCACCTGGCCCCACCCCTCCCCTCCCCACTCACTCACCTGCAGCACTGACGGGACGAGGCTCTTCCAGTGGCTGAGCGTGAAGTCGCGCAGGAGGGAGAACCTGCGGGGCACAGAAGGTCCTCGGGTCGGGTCGGGTCGCGGGGACGGGAAGCGTGGGGGGGGAGGGGGACGCGGGCCCCGTCCTCATCCTCACCTGTGGGCCGCCAGCCACTCCAGGGTGCCCAGGGCCTTCTGCTGCTGCGCGGGGACCCACTTCTGCCCCGGGGCCGCCCAGCAGTGCCCCACCGCCACCCGCTGCCACAGCACCGGCGCCGCCGACGCTCGGCACCACAGCCGGCACACGCGGGCCGCCCTGCGGGGGGAGAGAGAGAGAGAGGGGGGGGGGGGGCGGGCCGGGGGGGGGGTCCCGTGGGGCAGCCCCTCCGCCCGCCCCCTCCCGTCCCAAGCTCACCGGCACAGGAAGGGCACCGCGCCCCCCTCGGAGGCCGCCGCCAGCGCGAAGACGCGGACCAGCAGCTCGGCCGGGAGGCGGGAGCCCCAGTCGCCCCCCGGGGACCCCGCGGCCCCCGGCTCGGCCCCGCCGCCCCGCTTCCTGCGCGCCCCCCGCCGCCCCGCCGGGCCCTCCGCCGGCACCAGCAGCAGCGCCGCTTCCTCCGTCTCCTGCACCACGAAGCGCGGCGAGCCCCCCGCCTCCCGCGACCCCCGCCCGCCCGTCCGCCTCCTCTTCGGGCGGGGGGGCGCCGCGCAAGCCTTGCGCCGCATGGCCGCTGGCTCCGCCTCCCCAAAGACCCCCCCCCCGGGGAGGGGAGGGGCGCGGCGCGGGGGCCGCCGGGAAGGGGCGGGGGGAGGGCCAGGACCCGGCCGGCGCCCCTCCCCCCTCCCCCGCACGCGGCTCCCCCCGCCCCGCCGCTGCAGGTGACGAGGCCGCCCGGGGAGCCCCGCCCGCCGCCTAAAAGGCGATGCTCGGCCCCGCGCGGAGGCTCTCCGGCCGCCGCTCTGCCTTCCGGGCCTGGGCAGGTAAGCGGGCCGGGGGCCGTTCCGGAGCCCCCGCTCCCCGAAGACAGGGAAGCCGAGGGAGGGGCTGGCCAAAGCGGCCGGTCCGGAAACGGGCCTTGAAGAGCCGCCGGAGCCTCCCCGGACCCGGGCGGCGAGCAGGCGCCGGGTTGCGCCGGGTTCCCTGGGCGCAG